GGGCGCATCAACCTCCGTGCAGATGCCTTCTACTGGTAATTTATCATTGGTGTTTGCACGTAGCCCACCTATTTTTGCCAAATATGATATGACACTGCAGGAATGTAAATCCTACTACCCGAAGCGACTAACGCACTCTGTACAGATCTTAAACTTCATGTGAAAGAACAGAATTACCGGGTCATAATGTATTACGCTGTGGGGGGCTTATCAAAATGCATACAGTAGTCAGTGAAGTATACTCAATCAAAGTACACTAGGAAACCAACAGTTACTCTACTAAGGCCTCCGTGTTTCCCACGTAGATAACATAATTTCTGGACAGCAGCATTTAACAAGATTGTGTTCGTGCTTATTTTGCAGAAGTGTCGACCTCGGTTACTAGCGAAAACATTGAGTCCACGACGGAGGCGACAACAATCCCTAAGCTTAAATACTCATCTGATCCTATTGCAACTGAGATGCTCTAACTTCTTAACATACGACAGGATCCACCTCATTTAACCTTTTCTTGGCAGTTTGAATTGCATTTACGATGAAATTTCCTATCGTGTCTGCTGTAGACCCAACTGTAGGAGATTTGAAGGCATCGCCTCTTAACGACACCGCCATCCGTGTGAGCTGGACCAAACCACGTCCTGAGGATCAATTCAAAGACGAGTACCACGTTACAATCTCCATTCAGGGTTATATGAGGACAATTACAACAAATAACACATCGATCATCGTAGGCAACATGGATCTTTCCAAGATGAACGACATCACCGTACAAGCTGTTTGGGCCAATGGCACAGTTGTTACCAAGAGCGCATCAACCTCCGTGCAGATGCCTTCTACTGGTAATTTATCATTGGTATCTGCACATAGCCCACCCATTTTTGACAAATATGATATGACACTGCAGCACTGCAAATCCTACTACCTGAAGCGTCTAACAAAATATGTGCAGATCTTATACTTCCTCTAAATGAACAGTGTTACTGGCTCACAAAGCATTCCGCTGTGTGGAGCCGGGAGTGCGGGCGCAATTGACTTTGGTTTAGCTAATCCCTAAGACGGCAGGGCCAAGTAAACCAATCGTCAGAAATGTGATGCAGTGAGATGATTCCAAGTATGGTGAAGTGCGATTGTAACTACGTCAATAGACGTTACTACGCTAACGAAAACGCATATAGTTGTGAATGAAGTGTATGTCATCTAGGTACACTAGGAAACCAACAGTAACTCTACTAAGGCCTCTGTGTTTCCCATGTAGATAACATAATTCATGGACTACAGCATTAAACAGGGTTGTGTTTGTACTTATTTTGCAGAAGTTTCAACCACCGCTTCTACCGAAACGACTGAGTCCGCGACGGAGGCAACAGCAACCGGTAAGCTTAAAGGTCCATCTTATCATATTGCATACTAGCGCAAAACCCGGCTTCCTCTTAAGGCTTCCATACCTATTGTTGATCCTTATGTAGGCAAACGATATATGTGCAGTATATGAAAAATTGTCATTTATAAGGTAAATATCTCGGCGTACCTGAGTTTGCTTTGACTTGATGTACAATAAGTGTATGCTCAGAAGGCGTAATTTTGGAAAAAAAATAGCGAAGAAAGATCGTACAATCACTTAAAATATTGTTTAAATGTGCAAGTCCGATGGCTGCGCAATCAACTGAATGCAAATATCGGTTAGTCCTTAAAACTATGACATTTACAATTAAATACCATGCTTGGTGAAGCAGTTATAATCCATTGAACGAGGGAGAGCGTTGTTCAGTGGGACGTAGGATATGTACGTAATGGTAAGGAACCATAAGTTTAGTTGAAAACTGTAAGTGTGATACCATATAGAGTTGCGTTTTTGACCACTTAAATAAAACTCAACAGTTATTAAAATAAGAGGACAGAAGTGTGTTTGCGAGGAAAAGGGTAAGTTTAGGCAAGAGTAGAGTAGCAGGTTGGGAGACTAAATAAATTTATTTTAAAACATTCAATAATTAATAGCACTACGTGATTATGAGAAAACTGTAAGTGAGGTTCGATATGGAGTGGTGTTTTTAGCCACCAGTACGAAAAGTTACACACATTAAAATAATAACGAAAAGTACGTTTGCGGGGTAAATTGTACGTTAGGTACAAATGGAGCAAAATTTTGAGAGAATACAGAAATACATGAGATATTGTTACACATAGGTATAAATAGGTACCGAAATGTTATCGAATGTACAGTCGTCACACAAACGCTGCTTGATAAACAACATTTCTCGTAATCCCCTTAGGTGCCAAGACGTACAAATTACTTGTCGAGCCGACTCGAGATATCGCAACGTAGAGTTGTCTGTGGGGAGAACACGATTCTTCCAGGTGAATTCCAGCCACAGTGAAGGTTTGACCTTGGGACATCTTGCTGGACGTAACAAAGCAAACCTTCACGAGAAATTGAAGTCGTCGTAAATTGAACGGAGTATCAGATGGCACGATAGGAATGCGGGGGATATAAACGGTCTTCCCTTTTGCACAACCGGTCAGCTATGACATCAGTTGCTTGACAGTTAGCCTAGTGCCATTACATAACCGTGATGCATAGAGATGTCTCATTAACATAAGCGGTGCGCAACCTTCAGAATCAATTTGTGTGATGAAACGCCAGATATTCCCAAAATATTCAGGAATTCCACTAGATAATTAACACAATCTGAAGGATCAACCGTTGTATCGTATGATTTGTACAGTTCTTCCTCATCTGGAAGAAGATGGTTGACTCTCTCGTTAATGAATTTGACGAAGTTGTGTAAGGAGGCAAGAATTCCTCGTACGCCAGCCACTCTAAGTCGGAAAAATTGATTTGAAGATTAGGACAAACTTCTTCTCTAAGTTTTTCGCCACTGCTCAACAAATTATTCGTGTTATTTGTGGCTGTTTGGTCCCTTGGCTTCTCGCAATTCCTTTCGGTAGTCTCGCTTCCGCCAAAAACAGTGATATGAACTATTAGTTTGGTGCGGAACTATTAAGCAATAGTAGCAACATATGAATTGTTGAAAACTCAACAATGGATACCGCAATTCATGTGCGGGGTGCGTCGGTCAAGCTGGTGTGGATCTGCTTTGATATGATTTCAGGGGGGTTAGTTCCTGTGGGCCCCGTTTTGTTTGAAAACGCTAGCGCCAAACGGGGGGGAGCAAACGGGGGCTGAGACAATTCTGTACCGGAAAGGGTGGATTCCAGACGTTTGATATCAGCGGTGATGGGGCTGGCCGGCCGAGTGTTTCTCGGAGTAGACACGACAGCTGGGTCAATAAGGGAGAGGGAGG